CAACTGTTTTTTCTGCTCCTTGCAGGAAAATCGTGGCTGAGTACGAGAAGACCATTGCCCAGATGATCGGTGAGTGCTGTCAGCTGCAGGTGAGGGCAGGGAGCTGATGTCACACACATCACCACTCACTCACTGTGTCATTGCTGTTTGCTGTCACAGAGGATGAGCAGAGGACAAACATGACATCTCAGAAGAACCTGCAGCAAATCACCATGGAGAAGGAGCAGGCTCTGGCAGACCTGAACTCGGTGGAGAGGTCCCTGTCGGATCTGTTCAGGAGATATGAAAACCTGAAGGGYGTCCTGGAAGGATTTAAGAAGGTGCTTTTTCTCAGATTGTCCTTTCTCCCTGCAGCTCTGGCCCCTGGACACGGCGTTCTTGTGCAGCCACACTCCATTTTTCTGTGCTCCAGCATAAAGCAGAAGTTGGTTCTATTTAAAACCTTTATTTTTACACTCAGAACAGTATCTGTCATCCCATCAGAGCGATGTCTTTGTGTCCAGTCCAATGTAGATGGATGTACTTTCTTTTCCAGAAYGAGGAGGCTCTGAAGAAATGTGCTCAGGATTATCTAACCCGTGTCAAGCAGGAGGAGCAGCGGTATCAGGCCCTSAAAGTCCACGCAGAGGAAAAATTGGACAAGTAAGGTCATGATGAGATTTGCTGGGAGCTTCCAGACCTTGTAGGGCAGCAGCTCCAGAGGTTGGGAGGCAGGAGCTGAACATGTGAAAAGCTGCATTTTACAACCTCGGGCTCAAGGGGCTCTAAGTRAGGCAGAGCATATCCCTGAAGGCATTCTCTGATCTCTGCCCATTTATTTTTTAATGGAGAATCTGAGGTTCACGGTCCATTTATGGTCACTCAGCGAGTTCCATCTTTCTGTGTTTGTGGTGCGTGAAGGAGCTGCAGAGCCCCGGGGCTCAGCTGATGATCCCCAGCACATGGAACCCTGCTGAAGGGGCAGTGAACTGCTTGAGCTCAGCTCTGATGGAGCAGAGATTTGTACAGGGATGTGCAGGAGCTGATTTAACCCCGTTTGGTGCAGTGWCCCTGCAGGCAGAGCCCCTCTGTGTGCCCAGGCGAGCAGAGCCAGGCTCTGCAGTGCCATTGGGGTGCTCCAGAGGTGTCACCAGCCCTGTCCCTGCCCCAGAGCCAACGAGGAGATCGCCCAGGTCCGTGCCAAGGCCAAGGCCGAGAGCACAGCGCTGCACGCGGGGCTGCGCAAGGAGCAGATGAAGGTGGAGTCCCTGGAGAGAGCTCTGCAGCAGAAGGTAAAACTGTCCTGACTGTGCCAGCCCTGCCTGGCAGCACCTCCTGACACTGCCCTGAGTGTCCTGCTGGTGCTGGRGCTGTCCCAGAGTGTTCTGGCGTGGAAAGACTTTTGTGGGTTCGGTGTTGGGTGTATTTTTGTTTGCTTGGGCTTTCTTACAGTGGGGCACCTAACCTAAACCCTAAAGCCTAAACCCTAACCTTAACCCTAACCCTAACCTTAACCCTAAACCCTAACCCTAACCCTAACCCTAACCCTAACCCTAACCCTAACCCTAACCCTAACCTTAACCCTAACCCTAACCCTAACCCTAACCCTAACCCTAACCCTAACCACCCACCAGTGGATTTTTTGGCAAATGGGCACTGTGGCTGACACTCTGCTCACAGAGCTGTGGTCTGGGGCCGGGTGGGCTCAGGGGTCCATGGGGTGCCTGGATGCACAAAGGAGCTGCTGCAGGGGCAGCTGTGCCACCACGGGGACCCCAAAATCTGCTTTTGTTCCAGAATCAGGAGATCGAGGAGCTGACCAAGATCTGYGATGAGCTGATAGCGAAGCTGGGGAAGTCAGACTGATCTCCTCGCCCCTCGGCCGCTTCTCCCTGACCTGAGCTCCTGCCTTACCCCGCTCCCTCAGCACAGCTCCGTGTCCTGCTCGGCTGCAGGAGCTGTGGGCACTGCCCATCTGCACAGTGCCAGCTCTCAGCTGGAGGTGACAGCCTGGGCTCTGTCCCCTGGCTGGGCTGGCTCTGTTGTGTCCCCACTCCTGTCCCTCACTGTGCTCAGCAGAGCAGCCTGGCAGCCCTGGGTCCTGCCCTGGATGTGGGGGATGCCCAGGGTGCCCTGGGGAAGGGGACGATGTGGGTGATGCCCAGGGTGTCCTGGGGACAGGGACAATGTGGGTGATGCCCAGGGTGCCCTGGGGACGGGGACGATGTGGGTGATGCCCAGGGTGCCCTGGGGACAGGGACGATGTGGGTGATGCCCAGGGTGTCCTGGGGACGATGTGGGTTATGCCCAGGGTGCCCTGGGGATGATGTGGGTGATGCCCAGGGTGCCCTGGGGACGATGGGGGTGATGCCCAGGGTGCCCTGGGGACGGGGATGATGTGGGTTATGCCCAGGGTGCCCTGGGGACGATGTGGGTTATGCCCAGGGTGCCCTGGGGACGGGGACGTGGCCCCTGGACGGTCACTGCTCGGTGGGTGCAGCCCAGCACAGCGTCTCCCTGCCCCTGTGCCAGCTCGGAGGGAGGGACAGAGCTGACATCTCTGCATTCCTGCACTTTATGAGCTTTTCTGGGCACTYGGGCTCTGCTCACGCCTTCCACTCAGGCACTGCTGCTCCTCCTCCCCAGAGCCACCTCAGGGCAGTGACCTCAGTCCTGGGCAGGGACACTCGAGCTGAGGGGCAGCAGAGGCTGCACTGAGAGGTGTTTGAGGAACAGGGGAGATGTTGGTTCTGGGGGGCTGGCACTGCTAAATCCACGCTGGCACTGTCCATCAACACTGGCACTGTCCATCCATGTGGGCACTGTCCATCCTCACTGGCACTGTCCATCCACCCTGGCACTGTCCATCCACCCTGGCACTGCCCCTCCACGCTCCCGTGGCCCCCTGCCCGTGGCTCTGGCCCTGCTGGGGCTGGGTGCCCTGGTGACAATGGCCCTGTGCCACCCCCTGTGCCACCCCCAGTGCCACTCCCTGTGCCACCCCCTGTGCCACCCCCTGTGCCACTCCCTGTGCCACCCCCTGTGCCACCCCCTGTGCCACTCCCTGTGCCACTCCCTGTGCCACCCCCTGTGCCACGGAGGGTTCAGGGCCCCATTTCAGCGCTGCCAGAGGAAGGAAGTGACCCCTGAGCTCCCCTGGCTGCTGCTGCCGTGGTGGAGGATCCTCTGCCTTGAACAGATCATCCCAAAGTGTGAAACACGGGGAATATCTGCAGTTTGAGCTGCTTCCTGCCCAGCCTGTTGAACACTTTCACAAACCTTCTTGCTGCTACCTTTTTGTAACAGAATTGGGCTCTTTTCCTTCTATTTTCTAATTCCCTGTGTTGAGCATGCAGAGCAAACACCTGTTTAAGACAGAGCCATACACTTGATTATATTTTATTAGTTATATAATGTATAGAGAGAGTTTATTCTACACTTTAGCMAAGATGTCAGCAGCCTGCCTGAGCACACAGCCTGTTCCCCACGCCCAGTTATCCCAGTGAGGGACCAGTTACTCCCAGTCAAAGGAGCTCCAAGCAGTGCACCCGTTGCTTGCGCTGGATATTCACCTTTTGCACAGTTGGCAGAAAGGAAAAACCCTTTTTTCCTCTCTTTTCTCATCCCTTTTGGCCTCCCCACGTGTCCCTCTCCTGGGCTGGTGACAAAGYTTCAGTGATGCACAAGGACTGTTTGTGCTCCCCTTGGGGGTCTGTGCAGGTAAAGCAAACCCTGAGACGCAGAGAWTCCTTGGGCATTTGGCTTTTTCTCGTGAGGAGCCCGAGAGCAGCATTGCAGAGCCTCTCAGAGCAGTTCAGGGCTGTTCCTGGTGTGCACTGGCACTGTCCTGTCCCTCTGTCCCTCCTGTCCCCACTGTCACCCGCTGTCACCTCTCCCCGTGTGACCCCAGCTGGGCAAAGAAGATTCCTACGGAATGGTTGATTAACTGTAATATGGTTATAATTACCTATCTCTAAAGACAATGGGTATGGTTACACAAAGAGAAGGTGTTTGTGAACCCCAGGATGGTCACACCTCGTGTGTCACACTCGGACAGGCCCAGCCCGCGGTGTCCCCCAGTGCAGGGGTGGCAGGTCCTGTGTGTGATGTCACAGGTCCTGTGTGTGGGGTCACATGTCCATGGTGTCACAGTCCTGTGTGTGATGTCACAATCCTGTGTGTGATGTCACAGGTGCTGTGTGTGCTGTCACAGGTCCCGTGTGTGGTGTCACAGTCCTGTGGGTGGTGTCACAGGTCCTGTGTGTGATGTCACATGTCCATGGTGTCACAGTCCTGTGTATGGTGTCACAGGGTCACAGGTGCTGTGTATGGGGTCACAGCCTGGCTGTGTGCAGTGTCACAGGTCCCGTGTGTGGTGTCACAGGTCCTGTGTGGGGTCACAGGGTCACAGGTCCTGTGTGTGATGTCACAGATCCTGTATGGGGTCACAGGGTCACAGGTCCCGTGTGTGGTGTCACAGGTCCTGTGTGTGATGTCACAGTCCTGTGCTGGTGTCACAGCCTGGCTGTCTTTGCTGTCTGCTCCTCGCAGTAGAGTTCAAAGCCCCTCTGTGGCAGCCCTGCCCGTGCTGCTGTGTTCTGTTTGCAGCACATCTGTCTGGAACCAAGTGCCAACCCATAACCCCCAACTACTGATCTCCTCCCCGTCCCTCCAGCGTCACCTCCCCAGGCAGGACCTTCCCCTGCATCGACTCCTCTCCTCTGCTTTGAGCCACGTGTGGAATTGCCATTGCCATCGGTTTTATATGTATGATAATTTCCCTTTTATATGTCAGGTAAATATTTGTAAGAGTTATACTCACACAAATGAGATTATTATAATGATTACTAATATATTTTTTCCATGTTTCATTGCCTGAGTAAAAACTGTGTTTATCACTCTTGAAAGCTTTCTTGGTGTTTGTGAGGTTGGTGAAGAGTTGGCTTTRCCTTCCAGAATGGGCCATGTTCTGCCAAATAAGCACAGGTACAATTTATTCCTGAAATCTGCGTTCCTGAGCTCTGAAATTCAGACCTGGGATGGTTTTACTGCCCCGTGACTCCCAGCAGTGCCCCACACTGTAATGGTGCTGTGAGCTCAGACTGCAGAAGAGCTGAGGCAGCAGWGGGATGGCAGGAGGAGAATCCCTGYCCTAATCCTGCCCTGACCCTCGGTGGCCTTGGGAACATCCCTGTGGAAGGACAGACCCCTGGGAGGGCAGGAACGGGGCCTGTGAGCTCCCAGCCCTGTCGGGGTGTTCTCTTGTTCTCTTGCACTTCTCTTTTGGYGGGCTGRAAACTTTTGGGGKKTTTTYCCCCAATTTACAAGAAAGGGGCTGTTCTCTGGGTGGAGCTGGTGATTGATGGAGGTCTCTGAAAGGCACCACAGACTCCGTGTCCCGAGGTGATCTCCGTGTCCCGAGGTGATCTCCGTGTCCCGAGGTGATCTCCGTGTCCCGAGGTGATCTCCGTGTCCCGAGGTCATCTCCGTGTCCCGAGGTGATCTCCGTGTCCCGAGGTGATCTCCGTATCCAGAGGTGATCTCCAAACCAGGGACCGGCACGATGTGAAGCAGAGCCCATCCCCGGCAGCGGCTCTGCCCCTCTCCCGTCCCCAGCCCGTGTCCTTGGGGCGCTGTGTCCTGTCCCCCCAGCTCAGGTGGAATTATCCAGGGGCTGCTGCTGGCCCAGCCCCGATCCAATCACCCTGCAGATTAGCTGTAAGACCTTAAGACAAACCAGCAGCTGGCACCCGGCACAGCCACTGCTGACAATGCCTGCCCTGAAGACCCTGCTGGCCCTGGCCATCGTCACGTCCCTGGCTGGAGAAGGTAAGAGTTCCTGGGCTCCAGGCAGCACCGGGCCGGGTGAATCGCTGGAGCAGCCCCATCCCTGCCCCCTGCCCCGGGCTGGACCGTGCCCATCATCCCCGACCCCATTCTGCTCCCACCCCTTCCGAAAATGATGTTTTGTAGGGGAGGGCGGCTTTCTCCTCTGAGTTCCGCCCCGAGAACCCCCCGTTCCTCTGCCGCCAGCACAGCAGGGCGGTGCCCAGCAGGGAGCTCAGAGCCTCTGCTTTCCCAGTTTCCCCGTTTTGGGTTTCCTCCTCTCTATCCCTGGGATGGGATGGGAGCTCCGGGCAGAGCCGGTCCCGCTCCCACCAGAGGGCTCCGCTCGGCCGGCAAAGCGGAGACAAAGCGGGGATGAGCTTCCCTTCCAGCAGCAGCGCTGCTTTATCCATCCCCGTCCAAACCAAACATTCACCATTTCAGGCAGGAGCAGAATCTTCAGGTCTGGCTTTTTCTGGGGTGTGTTTGAGGGGTCGGACAGCTCCTGCCCCACGGTCGCTCTGTTTGCTTTCCAATCTGTGGCCTCCTTCGAGGACAATCTGGAGATGGCTTCTCCCTCCCGACTCACAAATCTGCCTGGCACGGGGCTTGTAAAAGGAATTTCAGGACTCTCGGGAAGTCTTTGCAGGGCAAGGACTCGGCAGAGCTCACCTGGCCAGTTCAGCTCTCATCATTTTGAGTCACACTGAAAAAGAGGAGTTTTGCATTTATTTCGGGGACAGTTGAGGTCCATCCTGCATCCTCTGAGTGCCACGGCAGTGCCTGCTCACAGCTCGACCCCGGTGCCAGCCCTCATCTGTGACTGTCCCTGTCCTACACATCCCAAACCCTATCCCTGCTCTGGGGTCACCCCTGTCCGTGGAGACCCCCAAGTTCCGGGGGCTCTGGGGGCTCTGGGACGGTCTGTCACTGTCACTGTCACTGCCACTGTCACTGCCACTGCCACTGCCACTGCCACTGCCACTGTCACTGCTCCTCCCATCTTCACTCAGGTAAAGCACTGAAATGTCACAAATGTGTCGCCTCCAACGAGAACGACTGCAACAAGCAGGGATCGCACAGCTGCCCGCAGTTCGCCGACGCCTGCGCCACCATCACGGCCCCCAGTGAGAGCCCGGCTGGAGGGACGCGGTGCTGGGGACACTGGAGGGGGTCGGGGGTGGGACTGTGGGGTTTAGAGGGGACCAGAGGGGCTGGGAGGGGAGGACGGGGAGGAGAAGGGGTGCCTGACCTTCCCCTGCCTTTCTTGCAGACAGCGTCATTAAATCCTGTTCCTACAAGTCTTTCTGTGACCAAGCGCGTCGCGGCGGCTCCGGCGGGGSCACCGTGCGCTGCTGCTTCAGCGACGACTGCAACGGGCCGGCTCGGGGCTACCGGAACGGCGCGGGGGCCACCAGAGCGTCCCCTGGCAGCCTGCTGGCCACCGCGCTGGCCGGGGCGATGCTGCTGGGCCGGCTTTGAGAGTCCGCCGGGGACACCGCTCGCTGCTGTAGCCTGGGGACGCGGGCGGGGGGTTCTCTCTGTGGGGAGGGGTCCCATCGCCCCCAGTCCAATAAACGCTGCCGCTAGAACCGTGTCCGCACCTCTCATTGACAGCGAGCCCAAAACCGCGAGAGAACCGAACCGAACCGAACCGCTTTGGCTGCCGGGGTCACCCCGGAGGGCTTTGCCAGCACAGCCCGGGGTCCCAGCGCTGTCCCCTCCCTTCCCGTTGCTCCAACAAAGATGCTTTTGGGCTGCTTTCTGCACCCCGAGTCTCGGCTGCGGAGCGCAGCTCATTTCCTCCTGTGGCTGCGGAGACACGGGTGAGATGTGAGGCTGCTCTGGGGTCTGGGGCTGCAGGGGCTCCCACAGCTCAAAGCTCTGCTAGAAACATCCCCAGGACTGCTCAGGGGGACTTGGTTTTGTGAGGCAGAATGGTGAAAGTGAGTGAACAGACTGGGGAATGATGGAGGGTGGCTGGGACCATGAGAATTTGACTGCAAGAATAGTGCAAGGCAGGCAGCAAACAGCAGCCGTCTGTTGGAGTCTGCCCGKCAGTACACGAGGAAAAGGGGAACAGGTACCGAAACTGAAAAGAGCAAATTTGTGCTGAAGAAAAGAAGTAATTCAGCACGTGTGGATCCAGCCGCGGAACTCGCAGCTAGAGGATGCTGCAGGAGCACAGACCTCGGTGAGCGCTGGCGGCTGAGAGGGGCAGAAGTTCTGCAGAAAATGGGTACAGAGTCCTGCGAGGGTTAAATATCCCCAGAGGGTCGCTGGATGCTGCAGGGGAAGGGGTGTCTCGGTGAGTTCCAGGGGCTGCTGTACCCCCAGACAGCTCACAGCAGAAAATCTGTGTAAAATGTAAAATGCAGAACTGCCGGATCCTCCATGAAGAGAGAGCGGTGTGACTCGCTGCCGTGTGACCGTGCACACAACCCAGCGCTGCCCCGGGCTCCGGCGGGTCACAAGGGCTGCAAGAGATGCCTCGCCATAAAAACGCTSCGTGGAACAGTTTAGTCTTTCCAAAGGGTGGGATGGGGAGAGGGGCAGAGCAGGGCTCCTCTCCGGGATGCCGGGAGCAGGCAGAGCAGGCAGCAGCGGAAAGGAGAACTCGCGTGGGACGGACAGGGTGCGGGTGTCCTGAGCCAGCGCTCCYTCGGCAGGAAGGATCGGTTTCAGCCGCGCCGGGAGAAAGTGCTTCGGGGCCAGATGGAGCTTCGGGGAGAAAGCGAGGGTTCCCCTGGGCGGCACGGGGGGCAGCGGGTGTCTCCTGCTCCCCAAATCCACCCTGAACTCACTCCWGCAGCAGCTTTTCCAAGGGACGCTCCTGCAGGAACCGTGACCCGAACTGGAGATGGGCGGCTCATCTCCATCAGTGCCAGCCCCCAGCACACACGGAGCGGTTTTGTGTCGGGTCTGGGGGGATTCAGGGGAAGGCGCCGAGCCCGGGACTGGGCGGCCCTGGGCGGTGCACAGGACCCGCAACAGGCGGAGATGGGGACTGGGACCCGCACTGGGTTTGCTCCCACCTTCCCGGGGC